CGCGTGAAATTGACGACGACGTAGTTTCCATGCAAATACTTAAAAAAAGCGATGATTTACATACTTAGAGAAGAGAAACTTCTTGCTAGCTTACCTTTCTTTGTCAGCAAGGAGTTACCTAAAAAGCAAAAAATAAGCAAAGAAAACATTGTAAAACTCTGCTGAAAATCCTAGTGGCAATTATTGACGCATAGGCGTTGTCGCGTCTGCAGGGACACTATATTAAGCAAGAAATCTACTCGAATGTAGGTATTGACTACATAATTATTGAAAATTACCACGTACATACAATACCGCTCATAATTCGTCAAAAAAGTCGCCGGATTTTGGCGCACTCCGCCACACTCCGCCACAGTGCGCCACAATCCGGCGACTTTTTTGACGAATTATGAGCGGTATTGTAATTATTGAAAATTTTTTCGCAATAAATCGTACGTGAGCCTTCCACATGTGCGTCCTTTGAACAGTTTGAGAAAGGCGTATCGTATGCTAGACATAGGTCAATATTTAAAAATTTTAGTCGAATTAATGTTGCCTCCTCTTTTGATGTTGTCAGCTTATACTTGTTATTATAGGTTGACACACCTGGATCGTACTTTGTAGACGACATGACTAAGGTTGGTTCTTTATGGTCAGTCTTACTTTCGAACGATCTTTTATCGTTATTGATGGCTTCCAGAGGTCGTGGTTCTGTCTAGCTTCCGCGTAATGGTAGGAAAGAAACGGAACTTAGACAATAACATTTGATTATTTTGATTTTGTATGACATGTGATGATTGCCCCTGCTGTAAATGATTTCCAGGGCTCTTTGTTGATTTTGATATGGATGACTGCCATATAAGGCGCTTTTCCTTGGTTAAGAGCAACCTGTCCCTGGTTTGCATATCAGTTGATAATTCACTATTATTCCCAATCGTTCGGAACCATCCACACAAATCCACGGAAAACGAAATCGACAACACTAAAATAACATTTTTTCAGATCTCAACAAAACCTGTTATTACAGATTTTTTGAGACCCGAAGGTATATTCTGTAAGCCCGTTGATATCCGGTCAGTGCAATCAACATTCATTTTGTTATGCAGAACTTTCTCTTCAAGGTGCTCTTGCAGCGTAGCGGCGGTATCTCCATCGGCTACTGGACCGTTTTCCGTACCGTCTTTTATTGGTCAGCCGCAACCTTTGATCAGTGCAGAGCTCGAATTACTGGAAGTAGTCTATGTAAGTTCTTGATGAGTCCTTCATAAAGGTTTTTGTATGAGATTTTAGAAAGGTTCCTCGGCGAGTACGTTTGGCACAGTTGAGCTCACCTTCAAATATCTTGTCGGGGGTACTCGAGTCGACACTGGTAGTCAATATTCACATTGTAAAATCCTATTGTCTTGATTTAGCATGGCCCTTAGGGCTTGAAGATTTGGAGGTGACGGCAATGATGAATGGAGATTTTTGTGAGAAAGCAGCTGTTAATCAAAGCGCTGCTTTGTCCAGAGCTGTTGATCAAAGCGTGCCTCTGCCCATTTATGTAAGTCATACGATACTTATAAGGTTTTAATGTAAATCTTTACAGGCTCAAGGTTCTCTTGGCACTATAGTCGCTCGATTAGATGCCGAAGCTATGTATCGTAGATGTCACTACCTCTACTATGCTGATGAGGTCAAGAGTAAACAATGCGGAGTTCGGTCATCTCCTATAGCCAAAGACGCGCAACCGCTTTTATTAAGTGAATTTCCAGATGCAGCTAACTCTTTTCTGTCATATCAGATTAGCCCATGAGAGTTGGGCTGAAATATGTGGGTAAAAGTTGGCAAAAATCGATGAAGTCTGTAAAAGTGATGAATTTTTTTACAAATGGTCATTTTATTCGCAATCAGCTTGACTTGATCAACCCCCACCCCCTCAGCGGACATATACATAACGTCTCTGTTGTTTGATCATTGAAAAAGCAGATTGTTAAGAATACTGAATTCGCAAGAATTAGACTTCCCAGTCGGGGATAAGTGTAACAAGTCAGTGAAGGAAACCGTTAGTCTCAAAGGGGAATTATCAAAAAATATGAACTAAAAGGCACCAAAACTCATCTTCACATTTTCTCAGATTCTCATTCAAAATGGAAAGTATAATTGAGTAAGGTAGTCGGGAGTATGTGCAAGAAGAATGAAAACGACAGCGAAGAATTTGACAGAAGCGAGAGTTCAAAAAAGAACCCGATAAATGAAAGAGAAGCAAATAGATAATAGGGTGTCCTGAAAGCAAAGATTCAAAGAAGTTCTTGGTAAAATTCGATGCATGTTTCAATACGTTAGATTGGAAACTAAGTTTTGCAACTTCTTTCATACTTTACTCTCTTCAGATGTGGAGCGCTCACACTTTGGCAATGTGAAGGGCGTAATGTGTGGTACAACTGCGTACAAGCTGTTTGAATTTTGAACACAAATTAGAACAATTTCAGGCATTTTTCGAAAACTAGCGAATTTTTAAAATTTTTAGGGTGAAGCCAAAATGAAGCCGTTAGCAGCCTAGACCATGCGCAATAATCCGGAATCGTGTAGAAATGTTGGCAAAGATTGACTCTTTCGCTTCATGGCACCACATTTTGTACATAACTATCTCTATTTCTATTTTAATCTATCAATAAGAAAGAACTGAAATTTAGGGGCATGTCGAGATTTGGCGCCCTCACAGACTCGAATGAGTCGCTGTACGCAAGGCTGTTGAGGACAACCGTCAATGACTAAGTACTGATGTTAAGACCCAAAACTTCGCTGAGACTTTACATAGTGAGGTTCTTTGACCTGCTAAACACGAATATCATATCAATTTGTCGAATCAACGCCCTTTCTTTGTTTAGCGTGAAACTCTATATCATATACCTACGGTAGTCTTACCCTTATCGCACAATTGTAGTTGTCGTTTGTAAGGCCTGTCATATCATCTGGCCCAATCATTTATTCCCTTATTATTCAAAATATTGAGTATAACTACTAAAATAGTCAAAAATACACGCAAACATAACAATTAGCTAACTACCATTGACTGATTAATGTTCTATTAAAAGAAATAACATAATTTGAACCAAAAATCCCCTTTTTTCACTTATAGTAACCGAAAGTTGCCTAATTGTATACCCACACCTGTAATTTTGATGGAGCAATACTAAGGGGTCAGGTTGTGTTTACCTTACACTAAGGTTAGTTTATTCTTTATTCTCTTTGTTTCTTTCCAGTAATACTACCGATGGGGTTCACACAAGTAGCTACTGGCAAGGGAGGGTAAGTACTACGCCTCCGGTGTATTAATTTTTAGGGAGCGCCACCCCCTGGAAGCAGCCCTTCCGAAACCTAGAGTAACCTTCCCTTGGTATGGGATTAGGCCTTTCTCTACCTTAGAATTTTGGCTTAAAAAAAGTACGCAAACTAGTTACACTTCGTCTTCTTATTTTCAGGGTACGTTCTTCAAGGAGTAAGGTAAACGGCGAATACAACCTACTGCAGTTTGGCAGTGACAATTTAGGCACTACTTGTAATATTTCATGTAACATCTGTACAAAAATATTAACTCCTAACAATTGCATAAAATATTATACGACTAATCTAAACATCAAAACGTATAAGACTTCAAATGCAAACTGCAATTCAACTCACTTGGTATATTGCCTCCTTACATGTTGTGGTTGTGGACTGCAGTATGTTGGTATTACTAAAAGAAAACTTAGTGTTAAAACTTAGTGTCAGAACATACCTAGGGAAAAACAACTTTTTTGGACAAAATTATTAATGACACCTATGCCTTTCGACTTCAATGATAACATGTTAGGTTGGTCCGAAAGTTCTTGCGCATCATATTCAAAAAATCATAAATTATTTGCTACTCGATGGATTTCGTCAAAATTATATTTATTCGAAAGAGCAATTCGTGCTCTTTACAACAGTGCCTACGCCATGAATTACTTTGAGAAACTACGAGAGTTACAAGCAATTGAAGGAAAACAGTCAAGATCGGAATTTTTCGAGCTGGGTCACAAAAAATTCTGAAGGTATTTTTATTTGACAGAGGAAATTATTTTCATTACAATGGTACCTTTCGTACGAGTTAAAACGAAAAAGATCGGGAGTTCGCAGCAAATAAAGAAAATTTCTTCGGTTTTGCAATTTTTGAGCATGCTCAAAAAAGCCTAAAAACGTCACAGAAAAGACGGAAAATTCATGAATGTGGGTTTTGTAACCTTCTCTTTCTAGTTAAGGAAAAATCGTGCCAATCGAGAGCAATTCTGTTTTTCGTGAAAAACGCAGGCTCGAAAATCCGAAAAAATGACGAAAAACAAAATTGCTTTTGATTGGCACGATTTTTGCTCATCTAGAAAGAGAAGGTCACAAAACCCATGTTAATGACTTTTTCGTCTTTTCTGTGACGTTTTTAGGCTTTTCTGAGCATGCTCAAAAATTGCAGAACCGAAGAAATTCTCTTTATTTGCTCTTAACTTTCGATCTTTTCCGTTTTAACTTATACAAAAGGAACCATTGTAAAGAGAATAGTTTTCTCTATCAAATAAAAATACTTCAAGAATTTTTCGTGATCCAGCTCGAAAAGTGCCAATCTTGACTGATCCTTCAATTGCTCGTAACTCTCGTAGTTTCTCAAAGTAATTCCTACGAAAGTACAGCCGTAGAGAGCATGGATTCCCCTTTTGAATGGATATAATATTAACAAAATTCATGGAGTGGCAAGGAAGTTATGATTTTTTGAAAGAGATGCGCAAGAACTTTCGGACCAACCTAATAAAAGGCTACGGTAATCTAACCGCGATTGAGAACCCTTCAAATCATAGAAGTAATCATCCATTTTTCATTCTTAGCATATCTAAAGACAGAAACAATCGAGGATATAATAAAAAAAGAAAACATCATATACACAGACAATCTATACTTGAAAGAATCAAAAATTTCATTGAGGATTTCCCGACATATTATGAACTCTATTAATTTATCAAAAATAAAAATAAACATTTATTTCCTCACTAATTAATATGTCAACCTTTAGTCCTGAATCGCTAGATATTCCTTCTACTTTCAAACATGCATTGTACAGTATTCTCTGTCATTACCATTTCAGCAAAGTACCCGACAAAAAAACTATCATTACATAAATGAATATCAAATTTCCTTTTTATAATAGCATTTTAGATAATATCAATATCAATAAAATAGTTAATAATACATCTATCATAAACCTTATTAAAACATACAGCTCTAAACCTTATCAATCTATCAAAATAATATATGAATACACAAAAAATGCTTCTTGTAATTCATACAATTATAACAATTTTTGATAATCTTCACAACCTCAACATAAACGATGTTCCATGTGTTTGTAAAAACTACCAACAATACATAGACCCTACACATAGACATGTTGTCACAGGAGATATAAACATATTTAAAACTGAACCTATATATGATGTTTTGAATAAAGGTACAAAAGTAAGATAACCATATAGATATTCTACAGAACAAATCAAAAGTTTATGGCTCAATTTATTTAACATAATTTGCAAAAAATACAAAACAAAATATTCCTTAGACGATGTAGTTTCGACCACCATAAAAAATGAATTATACAGACACTTTCTTAGATACCATGGTAGACTAATTTATAATCTTGACAATAACAGTCATAGCCTTCCTAATTTAAATATCGAACACTATCAAAAGTTCTTCATATTTTGCCCTTTGGACAAAGCTAGCTCGGATTATGGCATTATTTGCAAAAACTTTATCTCGAAATATTAGTGTCAGAAAAGGGATTGAATAACGTGTCAAGTACTTCTACTATGAATAACGTGTCAAGTACTTCTACTATCTATCGTCGAGTCATTCGTAACTTAATATGTGTAGTGCACACCATGTGCGCTATCTTACGAACTCCAAGATTAGATCCTGCTCATTTTAAATGATTTCGCCTCGTTTGTTTGTCTGCTTTTGTTTTTGTGGGATATATGCCAAATAGTAAAACACGAATTTAAGGTTCTTTAGATTAGAAAAAAATTTACTGAAAAGTACTAGTAAGGGTGCCGTCGCATGTCGTGCAAAGTGTGCACTTTCACATATTAAGTTACAAATGACTTGAGTATATGTTTATCTTGGAACATTAGACATTGAAACCGTCATTACTAAACATCTGCAATTTTCTAAAAACCATAATCTTAAAATTAACGAAGTTTGTACCATTCCAAATAATAGGTCGGTGCAAAAGTTTTGTCAGTTTTTCAATTCCATCTGCAAACACGCTAGAATTTTTTTTTAGCCTTGCATTATTCCCATACGGGGTCTGCCACTCTTATTAGTCTCCTCCATGTTTCACGGTCCAATGCTTGACGTTCATCTATTCCAAGCTCTCTCAGATCTGACTTGACTTTGTCTGTCCATCGCAACTTAGGTCTTCCTCTTGGTCGTCTGCCGAGAACTTCTATTGACATCGCTAGTCTGGTGATGTGTTCTTCCTCTCGCCTTCTGACATGGCCATACCATCTAAGCCTCCTTTCTTGCACTTTCTTGGTTATTGGGGCCACTTTCATCGTTGCGCGAATGGTATCATTAGTGACGTGGTCGAGCAGCGTGACACCCATCGTCCATCGGAGCATGCGGGTTTCCATCACTCCAAGCCTTCGTTCATCCTTGCGTGTGCACGGCCAACACTCGCTTCCATACAGCGCAGTTGGGCGGATGACAGTGCGGTACATCTGAGATTTCAGCTTGAGCGGCATCCTTTTATCG